ATATGAATGACACCCACCCACCCAACATACATACATATCAGTCTGCACAAAAGGGATTGTCTGAAACCCTTCCTATGCCCTAACCTTGTTCACCAACCCCTGTGCTACCTAGTCTCATCATCTGCTGCACAGCACGCTCCAAAACAGTGGTTTTTGTCTAGCCCCATCACCTGGTCACGGTCAAAACCTTGGGGGTAAGAGCACCCGTGTTTATCCTGTCCGCAACAGCTAGGGAACAGTTTATTTTATTACTTCACAAATCGATCCACAACTCTCAGGATAGCTACCCCCCCCACCCCCAAAATGTCTATGCACATTTTTGCAGGCAAAGCTTGCCTTTCCCCTTTTAGCACTGTTACCTTTTTGTTTTGTTTGTTTTATAAATACTGAATTATTGCAAAGTTACCCAATTCTTGCCAGTCTGGCAATACTACTCCGTAGAAACTAGATCCACAGTGCCAGAGACGTTGCTCAAAGTGAAAAATCACATCAGCAAGAGAGTGGATGTAGCAAACATTTTTGGCCATACTTACGGGATCATAAATTATTCGTGATGTGCCTTGGGGGGCTATTATTATAATTCAAAACCATTACCACTCAGGCTTTTGAGCGCTCTCTCTCTCTCATCTTACCCTCTAATTTTATTAAATTCAAATGACAAATGATAGACATCTCCCAAAGACAATGAGAGGCCTAATACTTCCATTGCTGCTTTTGCCCCTGGATCAATTGCCTCCTCTCTGGCATAAGCAAAAAGTCTTTGCTGGCTGATAATAATGCCCTAGAAAGTACAAATTTCACTTCTGTAGGAAAAAAACCATTAGGCAATTTGCACGAAACCAGCCCAGGGGAGCTAGTCGGGGGGCCGGGAGGGGGGGGGCGCAAATCACAGCAATTCACCCGGGCCCCCGAGCACACAAATTGCGGTGCTGCGGATGGATAGATAGGGCATCTACCACACGCTGAGGATCTGCACCTTCCTTGCGAGGGCAGGGCAAATTTTTTCAGCATGACGGTAAATGTTAGGGAACTCAAGACTTTGTAAGGGGCCACATGTAAAGACTGCAGCCACTGCAACCGTGGCCTTAGACAGGGATCGGCTGCTCCCAGGGCATCGCTGCAGCAACTTTTACACAAGCACAGGGCGTTCATCCTGCAAAGGGGAAGGAGGGGAGGGAGGCTGAGCACCTTTACAGGCACATACGTTACTACCCAGCTGCAAAACAGGGGACACAGTCCTTCCAAACAGACCACCTTAGGGCAAGAAAATAGCTACTTGCTTGTTTCACATACATGTCAAGTGCAATTGCTAAAATTCCTGAAGAATTGACAATATGGATATAGACTTCCTAGGAGAACAACAGGCAAGCAGAAATTACAAGAGTAATGGGCTTTTAGTGGAGTCTGCAGCATGCTGCTTGCATTGGTCTGCCTGCATTTGCAGTGACGTTTGCTATTCCATAAATGTGATGAAAGCTCTCCTGAGATCGGGTTCAAATGATCACTGTGCCACAGGGAACCTGAAGATACTTCTGCTTCATTTAATTAGAAAGAGTGAACCATCCATTCAGTAATTAACAGTCAGAAACTAGGAATCGCCAGTTCCCTCAAAGTCAAACATACCCAAAAGTCTGGAAGAGGATGATTTTGCATAGCTTTAAAGATAAATGGTCATTCTTCATTAGGGGCATGACTTAGCTCTCAACAAAGTTACCAGTTTTTATCTGGAGAAATATTTTAAACAAATAAATTCACCTGTGCTGAATGTCAGAGGTGCTTTGCAACATCAAAGAGCAATTTTGCACCTGGCTGATGCTGCTGCTCTCTGATGCCAGACAGCATTTCAGTCTGTCACACATAACACAGCAATTCCCAATTTTCAGCATCCCCTTTGAAGTCTGGAAAGAGCCCCTGTAATTTTCGTCTTGTAAACACATCGTTTAACCCGATGAGCGATGCATGGGCAGCGGCAGGGAAGGCCTGGCTGGTGCGCAGCACTGCCGAGGCCACGGCATGGAAAAACACCTAGGAAATTCTTCCAAAAGTCCTCAGCCGTGAACCAAAAAGCAGCTGCGCCAGTCAGTAGTTGCTTGACGGCGAATACAAAACTCAAATTAATTTTAAAAGCTGGGCAAACATGCACGCTTCTGTTTCATACACACATGAAAAAGCTGATGTGATTACATGTAATGAACAAATAGCATTTCCCCATGAATTTCTGTCCAGGATCCTGTTCGGTTTTTTTTGCTGCACTAGAGAGTTGCAGACAGCAGTGCTAAAATTTAAAAGGGCAAATGAATATGGGGCCTGCTGGCTCTGTGCACTGGCTTGGAATACCGAATAGACCATCAGAGGCCCCCCCCCCCCCCCCTTTTTTTTTTTTTTTTTTTTGGCAGTGCTCCTAACTTGTGCACTGTGCAGTGAAATGATTCAATCGACTTTTTTTTTCCCAAAGGCTTGGGGGCTCAGCCATGGTTTTCAATGTATAGTTTAAAAGGTGAGTCATCTTATATGCCTTCCTCTTTTTCTCTGAATTTCATCATGAATAATTATGTCCTTACATAAATATATATATACTCTTACAGAGGAAGTATATAAGAACCGATTCTGGGTGGATATTCCAGATTTACGATGGTGCAATATGAGAACATGATGGGGCTCATACAGGCAAATATGAATTTTCAGATTTCCATTATTTGAAGATGTTCTCTGTTGTGTCTTAATTCGGCTTCTGTTTACCTTTTTTATACTACCACTCCTAGGCACAAATGCTGGCTTTATTGTTATATCAGAAATGTCAATAACGTGAGTGTCATTGTCCATATCTCTTTCCTTCAGAATTTATCACCTGAGCCAGGCAAAAGGCAAACAATTGTCTAGAAGTGTGAGGAAATGGAGAAAGAAAATGCTAGAGACGGTCGAACTGTTACCCAGGCACTTCAGACCCATTTTATCATCTGCAGCTGCCTCGGGAGAATCTCTCTCTCGGGAGATGCTTGGAGCAATTATGTTCGTTCTATTTATTCGCCCTCAAAGGCCTGGTGATGAGTCAACAGAAAAATCTTTTAGGACGAAAAAATTAAAACTTGAAATACATGATACCCTGGACAATTTTTTTCTGCAATCAGAACAGCGTTGCCGCTCTCGATCTCTAGTTAAAAGAAGAAGAAGAAGAAGAAGAAAGCTACAGCAACAATCAGATCTGCAGATGTGATCGCTTTCGTTCTTGCTCTCAGGCACAAGGAGCTATTTCAGACCGCACGGAGATGCTCGCTCTCCGGAGTTCATGTCTGGCGAGAAATTTCCCCCAGCTCTGGTCAGAAGCGCCCAGGCGAGAGCAGAGCTCTCCGGAAGCCTTGAACCAGCTCGGCCACGCACAGTGCCTGCGCCAAAAGGAAAAAACCAGCCCCACGCACCTCCTTGAAGGACTTCTTCACCTCCACCAGCGGGTGCCAGTGGGCGATGGGCTTGCGCGGGTAGGCCAGCATCTCGTTCCAGTGGTCCCGGCCCAGCCCCTCGGCGGCGACCCCCGTGCGGCAAACCCCGATGACCTCGTTGTGGCCCACGCTGCGGAGCGAGGGAAAGGCGGCGCGGTCACCCGCTGCGCCGAACCCCGCGCCCCCGACGCGGCCCCCCCATGCAGCGCGGGGATTTCGTGCACCGGCGAGGGGGTTGTAGAACGCGCAAACGGGAGGGGCACACGCTAGTCACACCAGGAGAAAATGCTACGGAGCAGAAGGGATCAGTCCTGCTGCACCCGCAATTCTAGCGGGTGATTACCCATAACCTTACATATAAATGGCACTTTACAGCCCATCCCTCGAGACAGGCTGATGCCATTCAGCTGTGCAATGCAGGCAGTGAGACTACGGAAAATGGCTATCGAGTGGGAAAACCTGTGCCAAAGGGGACTTTTTCCTCTCCTTCGGCTCCCCCGTCTCCTACCTACCGATCGTAGTCCATGACGGATATAAGCAGACTGACTTGATCCATGTTCTCCGGGGGGATGTCAAAGATTATTGCTTCATTGTAGGTGGGATTTAGCGTGTTTTTCTTTATGCTGGTTTTCTTCTTCTTCAGTCTTCGCCCGTCACAGAGCAAAGACACTTTGACATATGGATCTGGAAAGGAGGAGATGGGAAAAAGCCTTGTGCTTATGGGTTTTTATTTTGATGCCTTCACAGTATAGAAACAGCACTAGCTAAGGATGTACTGTAAGTACGTTTTGAAGATCAGAACAGGCAGAGGGAGTTATTTTACAGGCATCTTTTCCTGCACTGCCACCAAAACTGCTCAGCTGTCATCATCATGTGGCAGGACCCAGGAGTGGAGGCGGCCAGCGCCCGGTCCGGGGAGCTGCTTGATGACTTAGGCAGAAAGTCTTATTTTTATGATTTTTTTTTTTTCCTCCATAACTCCAGAAAAGTTTCCACTCTTTGCAAATACTGTTTCCCGTCTAAGTGAAGAATCTACAGAATATTTTGAGACTCCAGAACATGATCTGGGAGCCAGAGTTGCAGTGAGTTGGGGAATTTTAAAACCTGTTTTCCCAACGTTGGGGAGTAGCAGAAAGAAGCGGTATTAAGGCAATGCTATGTCACTTGCTTTCCACCATCCGATCACGGCTGAACACCTTTAAGTTACAAACAGCTCCCCTTTGCTGCGCTGACCGCTGGGGGAATGTCAGTGCAACCTGAAGCTGTACTAAATGTGCAATGCATTATTATGGAAATAATCCAAACTCTCAAATCTCACACATTTCAAATGGCATCAAGCTCCAACTACGCAGAAATGCTGTCTGCAAAGGTCTTTTAATGCATTGTGACTGTGTATTACACAAGCTGTCAATGAAATTCAAATACTATGATGCTGATTCTCTGGAAACGAAACTGCTTTTTATGTCAAATTCCAGAATTTGTGCACCGTGAGCCTCCAGGCCAGCTCTGCCCCAGTGAACACGCACCATCCTGAAGTGGCTCTGAAGGCTGAATACTGGCCACCGGGCAGAAGAGCCCATGTTCACCTGGGGCTAATCCGGGCGGCCTGTGAGCCCTTCCTGATACTGGGCAGAAAACACTGATTCTGGCTGTAAGGGGCCATCCGAAATTCCTGCGGTGGGAAACTCCCTGCTCGCATAAAGCCACCGCGGTCAGCATCTGCCCCCGGGCTGACGCTTCCCCCCCAGCGACAGCTCAGCGCCTTGCCCACGGACCCTCCAGCGGGGGCTCAGTCTCGTTTTGAGACCTTGCGCATACGGAAAGCGCTCACAAAGCTCCGCTGGGCACGTCCGGGTGGGGGAGGGACCCGCGGCGGGGTCCAGGCTGCCCCAGGCGGGAGGCGCCGGAGCCTCCCCAGCGCCCGGCACTCACCTGAGTAACCGGTGATATCCATCGCTTTGAGATTTCTGCACTTAATGACTGTTAAGGTGAGCCGACCGGCAGTTGGCAAATAACAAAGGGAAAACATGATCTCTCCCAGGTCCACGCTCTCCTTCAATAAAACAAAGAACACGTTCTGTTGGAGATGTGCAAGCACCAGCGCGGCGGCCGGCCGCCCCTCCCCGGCCTGCTGGTGGCCGTTTGGCCTGGTTCCTCTCTCAGCCCTACACAACCGCTTCACTTTCCTTGCTTTCATCCAAGAAAATTCTATTTGAAAAATGCTTCTGGGGTGCTGGAGGGGACTGCTTGCTTCGTGCCTTGCTAATTCTGGATTGCCCATAGCAGAGGGCAGAGTACCTGGACAGTGAAAGCATATATGGAAAATAAGGAGTTTTAAACGGTCCTGGATTCCTCATCATATAATGGCGATAATAGGTGGCGATAAGGCTTTCCAGTGCGATGCTTCATGCAGGATTCATGTGGCACTAACGCTAAAATAGCTGCTATCCCGTCATTTTTAAGTGACTGACACCATACTGTGTGGCTGTGTTGTGGAATTTATTTTTCAGTGTATACCAAAAGTCTTTTACCTTCCCGTCTTAAATTTCTAAAGACGAATACATGGCACACGTGGAGAGGAGAAGTGTGCCCAAACGCTGGAGAGTCAAAGCCTGGCTAAGGACAGCCCGAACTGCCTGGCGGACGGACCGGGGCGCCACGGGTTCAGTACCGAAGAGAGCCATGAAGGACCCCCTGCCTCTGGGTTTTGCCGTGTCCACCACAGCCTGAACCAGCAGCCCCGTCACGTGCCTTCAAAGAGCTGACAGACACAGCATTAATTACATAGGTGCACGTATATAAACGGTGAATTAACCAGCAGATGGCACTCAGAAACATTCAATGGTTTCTGGCCACATAGAGGACAATGTAATTTACTGTTTTAGTGCCCCGTGAATTAATTTTTGTGAGCAGCTTTTACACAGAGCTCCTGGCACCGCTTGTGCGTGCAGCCAGGCCCATTACACCTCCCACAGCCCATCCCGGCGTCTATCATTGCCTTGCTCAGGGGGATTCAGGAAAAAGAGGAATAAATCCAAACTGAGAATACAAACAAGGCTGGTATTATTTAAACAATTATAAAACATTATACTCTGCAGTCAGCAGAATGTTTTCCAAATATGTTCCAAAAAAGGATAAAAATTCTTATCTTGTGCACAGAAATCCCACATCTGTCGAGCATACAATCCTTTTATTTTTGCAGAGGGAGTATTTGATTCTTTTCACTGTGATCTAATGATCTGCTGAAAAGAAATTGTAGCTGTTAGTAGTAGAGTGATGGAACTAGAAAGACAAGTAAATGCATTAGGCACTTAAAGCTTTGCTAAGTGTTAGGAGAATAGATCTTGTTGATGGATGAGATTTATGCCAAATGCCTTCTCATTCTCTGCTAAGGCAAAGATTAGATATTTATTCCACTTAGACATACAGAATACTAATGAGTGGTATATAAAAGTCTCAATTATTGACAGACACTTCACTTGACTGGCAAATAAATAAAAAAGCTTCTCAGGCATGGAGCATGCCAAAGAAACGGTGGCAGCCAAATGTTTTCTGTGCAGAGAATATATGACTAGACTTGTAGAGATCTGAAGGCACTGATAAGTAAGAGTTTTAACACTCATAGCCACACAGATCTCTCGCTCACCTTAAAAAACCAACGGCATCCTAAACGGCGTTCACTTCCATGCAACAAAATTCATCTGAGTGACAATCTCGTCAGCGATCAGTAATGAAACGGGCGAAAACAGTCACTGAGTTGTTATTCCTCTACCTTTGGCACCTCCTGGTGTGTCTGCCTGGAGCTAAATTTCTGGCCTCACAGAATATTAACGAAGTACCTTATGAAATTAGTGGAAGGGTTTTCAGCACATAATAAAAGCTTTTGGAACCTTTGCAGCATCCAGCTCTCAACCGAGTCCCATCAAACTCTGTTGAGCGAGACCGGGGGGAGAAAGCTTGAAAGCAACAGGTGCCTCCATCCAGCCGCTCTCCGAGACCCTACGAGCGGACACCACCACCTCAGTCCTCAGGTTCCCGAAACGTTTCCCGTTCTCACTGCCGCTGCCGTCCAACTCGTGCTGGTGACCCCCCCCGCCCCGCGGGCGCGGCAAACCCAGCCTCTAACGCCTCCTTTCCCCCCCCAAAGTGGCTGGTGAATAAGCAGCTCGGCAGCTACAGGCGCCACACTGCGATTTCAGGTGGTCCCAAGTTTTGGAGGACAGGAAGGAGGCTCAGTATTTCATGGCACCTGCTTCATTTGCAGTGTCTTTTTTTTTTTTTTTTTCAGGTCAACACCCAAAAACTGTGTGCCTGGAACTCCCATTTACTTTTTAAACACTGACACTGCTTGTCATCTTCAGAAGTACCCCTCCTCTTCTCACAGCAGGTGACGCTACCTAACCAAGGGCCCGGACGGGCAATCCTGTGCCGTGGCAGCACTTTGCAGCGAGCGTCTGGGCACCGTGCGGCGCGCACCGCGAGGAGGGCACCAAACTCGGCGTGGGGCTGCAACTGCATCTCTGCACCGAGACCTCTCCAGCTCCAGTCAAACACTACAGCTCCCAGCCTCAGCTATAGACTTCAGTGACTGAAGTAGGAAAGAGCTTAAAATAAATATTGAGGCATTTCAGCTAGAAATGTTTGCTCCTCCACACATTATTCGCCTTGCACCAGCTTGGGAGCAGCCAGGCTGGACACAGGCGTGAGACATGATCGCTGGGTGATCGCGAGAGCATCTGTGGGCACCAACTCACCTGCTGTTCCTCTCCTAGCGCTGCTCGGGGGTGTAAAACGCACATAAATCGTTCTCTGACCCCATTGTATTAGATCAAGAGATTTTTTTTTGTTTGTGTCCGTAAATAAGGCAGAGTAAAAAGTGTCCTGTGAGCACGTTATTTGCTTGCAGATTATAGATATTGGGACACTTCCAAAATTCATATCAGCAGCTCTTAGGAAATAATGGAAGCTCTGACTCAATACTCTGTGCAAACTTGAAACCCCAAATGCTTCACTGATTCATGAGCTGAAGCGTCTTAATTAAATAGTTGAGTGCTGGTGATTTGAATAGTTTATATCACTGCTAAAGTGTGTTCCTATCTTCTTACCCATACGATTGATCTAATATATTATTAGTCACCCAAATCTTTCCTTGGGTATTATGAAAACTGTATTTACCCTTCTCATTTTCAAGTAAACAGAGATGTCCTTGGGTGTGTTACAGCTGGCTGGGATGTACTGGTAGGGATGCAGAGCCTTATCCCTCAACAGTCCTCTGTTGGTTTCTCTCCACCTGTTTTTTGTTTTTTTTTTCCTATGACATTGGTTTTCTTGGTCAGCTAGAAAAATATCCACTACTTCCCATAACCTGTATAAATCTCCTCTAAGACTGATCATCACCTGTTTGTGCTCCAAAGCACTGAAACGGGGTGTAAGCAAGTGCCGTTCCCAAAGCACCGTGGCCTTATTAATAAAGAAATAAAGGCCAAGTTCAGCTCGAGCTCTCTGGACAGCCAAACTATAGGTCAACTCCCATTGCAGATGTGCTCAGGGAAATAGACCGTGAGTGGCCGCCTCAGATTTCTGAGCAATAGCACCTGAGGAACCAGCCTCTGGGCAAGCTTTGAGAAAAGACCTCTCAATCAGCCTGTTTTTTCTTTCTCTTTCCAAGGTATTAGAGAAACATCCTAAACTTAGTGGCAATATTGGCAGAAACTAAAGTCCCTTTTTGTTTGCATCACAAGATTAGAAGATAAAGAAATTCATTAAGGCCAAGCGCAAGTATCCGAAATCCAAGCCTGCCTGCAACCCGACACGCAGTGCTGGTAACAACAACACCCGCTGTTCCCAACAGCCTGCCAGGCTCAACAAAAATCAGCCGCGTGCCGGGGTCTCACAACAGCCTGGCAAGAGCTACAGGACTGCAGAGCGATTCTCACACCCCCAGGCAGTTACACCGAACACTAAGGTACAGTCAAGCCCAGATACAGCCTGGACCCCTTCTCTGCTGAGTTACAAGGCAAACGTCCTTCAGTGCTGCCGACCACATTACAACAGACATTTATACATAGAAGTTCATTCTCCAATGCAGCAAGCGGGAAAGGAAAGAGATCAAACCCGCTCTGAAGGCAGTTGCAGGGCAGATTTTGCAAGTCATGGGATTATGTCAGTCACTAGGAAAGACTCGACAGGGCCCACGCTTTCAGCCACAGGGATGATGATGTCTCATATTCCATAGTCTCAGAAATAATGACATGAAACGATAGAGAAAAAGACCAGCTTGGTCTCCAGCTGCAAAGCAGATCAATCACTTGTTTGTCCTCAGCATCAGACAGGTCCTCCTGGGAGGACAGTGGACGAGCAGACAGTTATTACGGGGAGGTTAATGTCAGCGTTTCTGTACTGAGAGATCAGTGTGAGAAGGTGGCTTCTCCTGCTAGCTTTAACTGAAGTCTGCAGTGTTGAAAGTGTCTAGAACATACCCTTCTCTGATGTTTGGTTTCATTTTCAAAGAGAATTTAAGAAAACTACTAATATCAAACTCTGAAATAGTTGCCAGCAACACATCAGGCGTAATGCTCTCAGTGTAACAAAACTCAGTAGAGCTGATGTGTTAGCGGTGCCCCTCCAGAGCTATTGCTTACTGTGTCTCATGCGCACGTGGCAGACACCAGAACCTGACCGAAACCACAGCTCTCCCATGCCGCCAGCTGCCCCAGGGCAGGGCTGCCCCTCCACAGCAGATACTCACGGTTGTGGCGTACTGAATGTCCTTCCAGATGGTTGTCTCCCGGGACAGATCGGAGGCCTCAAACAGGTTCTCCAAGATAACTTCTCCGATCATGTCGTGCCTGGAGAACCGATCAAAGTCAAAGACACTCAGGTGGAGCTTCCTGCTAGCCAGCTCCTCGTGGGGCACGGGGAAGTGGAAGGACTCATCAAAGGTGGGGTTCAGAGTCTTCCTGTGGACACGCGTCTGGAACTTGCGCTTTCTGTCGGGCAGGAGGTAGATCTTCACGTAGGGATCTGAGCTGCCACAGAAATCTTTGGCTGGCAGATCAAAAGCCCTGAGAATTCGGACAGTCAGCGTCTCATTCTCGTAGTCATACTTGAGAGTGAAGTTAATTTTCCCACAGGTTTTTGCTGCCTCTTTTTTGGGGTCCTCAGAGTCCACAGACTTTTGCTTATAGAGTTCAGGTTTAATGCGACCGATGCTGGTTGACTGCTCTGCCACAGCAGGCACATCTGTACCATAGTCCACGCTGGACACATGCATTTGCCGAGGAAGGTGCCTCTTGAAGGAGATGTGCCTGCACAAGAAGGACAGGACAGCTGTAAGCTTTTCCAGGGATGTTTTTCTCCTTTTTCTCCCTTGGACTAGCACAAGGAAAGCAGGGAGAGCGCAAGAATTAATAGAATCGGTGCTCCTGACCTCTGCACAGACAGCGTGTATGTTACAGAAAATGAACATTCACGAGGACATCTTCCTAATTTTCAGAGTTTTTGCAGCAAGCTGCATTTTTCACCCGTTACATCAGTAACAGCCCATAGCTAAATATATGAGACCAGTTATATTCCTTGGCCAAGCCACAAGCGACATTGAATTTCCCTCAGGCAAAAGATCTGTAGAGCTTTTAAAGTGAGAAAGACATTGCCATCTCAGAAATTTAGGGTTTGCTCTGGGTATTGCTGCTTCCAAACTTCTCCAGCAAACGTTCATCAAAAAATGACACAGGCTTCTCGCCCGACAGAAACATAGTGCCTTGTCCAGAAGCCGTCTCCTGCCTTGAACTCTCTTCAGCACAAAGGGAAGCTTTATGTAAGCAAAGCTTTATCTTAGCAAAGCTTTATCTTAGTGAAGCGTAAAAGCTTTTTGTGGACTCATGGCATTACTTTGGATTACCTGGTGTTTACAAGAGCAGGTTATTTAAGACCCTACTAAGAACTTGTACGCTCAGAAAGTTAGCTTTCAGTGGCAAGCGGAGCTGAGACCTTGCTCCTCCTTGGCAGGTTCCCCAGGGGTGTCCTGGCCTGGGCTGCAATCTGAGCTCCCAGCCTGCACAGGGGTGCTCATCCGTGTCGCTGGGCCTGGCTCTGCCTGCAGCCCCTGCTGGGCTCTGTCCCCAGGGAAGGCAGCTTTGATGCCTTCCCGCCTACACTTTGTTTGTCCTGGTTTGGACAGACTGAGCTTTTGTTTTCTCCTCCAAAGAAAAGGAGCAACAAAAGCAGAGCGAGCGTGAGCCTGACGCAGAGACAAGCAGCTGTCCAAAAGGCAGAGCAAGGCAGGACGTGGCAGAATGCCATTTGTCCCAGCGTTGGGTTTAACTCCAGCCTCTTCCAACAGAAGGCTGAGCTCAGAGTCTTGCTCATCCTGCAGCTCTGCAGCCAACTTCCTGCACAATGGCTGCGCTCACAGTTGTACTCTCCCACACATCGCGGTCAGGGCCAACAGCGCGAGCAGAAGCGCTGGGATGCAGCCAGGACCCTGCCATCGCCGCTTCCTGCCCTACTTTCGCAGCCTTCTGTGTCACGGCAAAGGCGCCGCATTGCTCGGTGCTCTTGCAGAGAAGGTGCCCAAAGGCTCACGCAGCCTCTCCCCGGTTTTAGAGTATGATGTCAAAATCTGTGTCCCTGGCTGAGACAGAAATGCCCCACTGATCGCAAGCACTGAACACAGCTAGTCCTCTGCTTGTGCAGCGAGTGGTACGTCAATCCAGTTCATCTAATTGTTTCTGCTTTGAGCCACATGCACAAGAGAGAGCAAAAGGGGCTAATTCTGTCCGACAGTATACCATCATTAATACTTCTGCCTGCCTCTCATGTCGTAACCAAATTAAAGTGGCCAGGAGCATGCTGACAGCTTGACACAACGAGGTCAAGTCACAGTAATAGGGTTTGAATCCTCTATTTTTTCAAAGGCCCTACAGTAAGCCAGTCTTAATACATCAATCGGTTGATGACCAGCCTTTGGAGAATAATCCAGCCTGTAGGTGGGCATATTTTCTTTGGTCTCACTGAACATAGCTAAACCTCAGGCTCAATTAAATATTCCTCCTATCCTGCCGCTTTCCGCAGACAAATGGCGTCTTTCCTGCACCGAGCATGGCGTGTCACTCACCTGGTGGAAGAGGCGGGCTCCGTTGTTTGCCGCTGTATCCGTGTACGCCGCATGATGTGGTCCTTCATGGACAGCTGGACCTCGGCTGGGATGTCTGGGGATGTGTGGCTGATCTTTACAGCGGCCTCCAAGAAACTTATGGTGCCTGTGTCCTTGAGCTTGTCTGCCATACTCTCCTTACTGTAGTCTGCCTCGCTCTGCAAGACGGCCAGGTTAGGAGAAATGGCCTTGTTCCTCCAGGGAACCCAGCACAGCTTCCAAAAGAGAAAGAGAAAAACTGCCACCAGGGCGAGTCCACACACAACAACTACCAGCACAAGGAGGCTGACGGAGAGCTCTACAGGGCAGGAAAAGGTGGCAATGGTGGGGGGAGGAAGGGGCAGGGAAGGAAAAAAGAAAAGAAAGATTGTGAGAAAGCTGCAAGTAAAAGGAAGAGATGGTCCAAACAGACTTATATCTCCCTCAGGTTCTGCCAGTGAGAGTCAAACCCATACAAATATCCCCTGTTGGATTCCTGCCCCCAACACGTCTGGGAGAGAAGGACGTCTCCGATGGCCTCCGGTGAGGTCTTCTGCTGCAACACTCAGCCGGACCATAAAGCATCATGCTCGGTTTGGTTTGTGGTGCTGGCAAAGAGCTGAGCCTCAAACCGAGCAGAATTGCAGAAGAGCTGAATGATGGAAATGAGTTTCAGTGCGGCACTAGGAGAAACTGCCTTTTCGCTTCGTAACAAAGGTGTTCAGACAACTATGTTAAAAAAAAATCTACCTACCATCATCCTGAAAAGCAGATTGTTGTTGGACTATTAATGTTCACATCTCGTCCAGCTGTGCCAATGGGGTATTAAAAAAAAAACAAAAAACACAAGCTGCTGATGCAGTGAAACCAAATATAGAAGGAGGTTGTACAGAAAATATTACACATTCTTCCTTATTCTAATGAGCACAGAGAAATCCAAAGTGAAAGCTGTGCGTGTCCCCTGACTTTCTGAGTCACTTTTACCTCATCTGCTATATATTGCAGCATTTCAAGCTTCCCTGGAGAGGGAAGAGCTTCCATACCAGCTGAAGCTCTGGGAAGAAAGGAAGAGCATATATACATGATCTAGGCTGTGAAAACATTCACAACTCTTCAAAAAGAGAAAACAGTGGTTACTTCTAGTTCCTTGCTTACAGTATACAGTCTCAGCTTCCCACCCAAACCAGCATTCCAGGCATCTGGGACACACAGCCCCCAGAGCTAGGTGAGCCTTGCCCTGGAACAGCCTGCTGTGGCAGGACCACGGAAGACTCGTTTGCAGGTTAGCATGCATTCAAGGAGAAGTGGTGTCTTGCCTCCTGCATTATTTGTAGTGACCAGTAAAGCTATACTCCTTGAACTATGTAAGCGCAAGCAGGACAGAAAAATAGACCAAAAAAAAAATTAAATACTCCAGACTTTTAAACAAAATAACCATTACCTCTTACTGATTTCTGTTTCTGCCCCTGCTTGGACCACAGATGTTTTACTTTGACATGTAAAATAGAGGGCAGCCAGCTAACTAGGTCCCCACAGACTGGAGACACAAGGCCCTTGACTTGTCTAAATTCAGAGTTAAAATTACTCTGAGTGAATATAACACACACACACGTAAAATTAACTGAAGAAAGGAACATATTAGATGTAGCTGCTAAGAAATTAGACCATCGTGCGTGGAAGTGGATTAGATGGACATGGATTAGATGGACAAACTACTATCAGCTCAATATTTTATTTTTGTCCATGTGAGTTCACTGCACCTCTTCAGGTTATGTCTAACTACAGTTAAGGCAAACAAATTTTCACCTCCAAGAGCTCTAAGAAATTCTTGACTCACTCAGACATTGCATTTAAAACAATCTCTCTCAAAATACATCCTTGCCAGGCAGCTTAGCTTTTAGTAGATCATCTGGGAAACTCACATCTGCGCTTCATCATAGCTACTATAAAAGTGATCCCTGAAATAGGTTTTTCCTTAAATAGAAATCATGGCAAGCAACTTTTCCTCTTCCTCACCAGCCCTGCATACAGGTCAGCCTGTCAGCCCTCTGCATACCGCAGCTGGGGTGCGAGAATAGGTCCCACCTCGTCTATAGCAAACAGGACTGCACAGCAGCAGCAGAACGTCCTTAGAGATTTGGCTAATGGTGTTCTCAGCAGAGCAGGGAGCACAAAGGTACCACTCTCCTGTATTTTGAGTTAAGTCTTGGAATCGCGCCCGGGATACTCACACCGTTTCAAAAGAACACTTAAGAAGCTGGATTTTTTGCAAACATGTCGGCTGTTCCCGTTCTGCTTCTTTCCTCTGCAAATGGTTTTAGAAATCCAATAATCTTTTCCAGTACTATTCCTTCAAATCCTTGTGAGACGTCCACAGCTGGAGCCTGACTCAAACACACACAGAGACGTCCATACACGCACAGACAGAATTAGCCTCAGTGACAAGGAGCTACCCAAAAGATTTTTTTTCCCCCAGGAAGCTTCTTTATCTGTCTTAAATTACTCCTATGACTATAACAAAAATGAGCTTTGAAGAGATAAATAATACTTGGCATTTGCTGCTGGCAGTGACGTCAGCTGTGGGCACTGAATCACAGATACCTTTATCAGCCTGTAAGGACACAGCTGAAACTAAAGACCATGTCTGCACACAGCTCAGCTTCAAAGACTTGCGTGGTGAATATCCCACAGGCTTAATAAAAATAGTTTTTAAAATCCAACATCCCAACAGGGATGCTTTCAGGCCAAATCTGCTTTGCAGATTTAACTTTTACCAGCTTCTTTCATTGGCAAACAACAGCTGATAACACGAGCCCTCCCCTTGACCTGCATCCCTTTCAGTTATTTAAGTTTACAGGGTAAGATATGACATAGGAAAGAGTTGCAATGCAGAATCCATCACTGCTGGAAGTTGCTTATGTGGCAGAAAAGTTCCCGTTAAGATAATTCTATCCATTCCAGGAAATTAAATAGCATGCATAAATCTTCTAGCACACCAGACTCGTTAATGAAAAACATCAGAAATGATCAGTTATCCCTTCTGAAAACTTGCTGCCAGCTTGAGAAAGATCTTAGTCCCTGTCCCTTCTTGCTGAGCTGGCATTCATAACACATTTGACAGGATTCACAGATACTTTTATGCATGACCTCCTCCTCTTCCCTCTGACAGCTCACGTAAAACACAAGCAGAAGGGATCGGGATTTTTGCAGACTTTTTTAAAGCATCTGCCTTAGAAGAATACTGGCTTGTCTGACCATGACACTGAATTACCAAAGACTTTTTCTTGACTTATTAAACTTAAATATCAATTGGACAGAGTTGACTTTAATTGATTTAATGAGCTTTCTCTTGTGACAGTGAAAATATCAGTTATTTAAAAAAAACCCTAGTATTCAAAATGTTATTAAACGACATTTAAAGCATGAACTGTAAAAACATGACAATGTTCGCCAATCGAAAATGCTCATCTTGGCCCTAGGGCCAGACATTTCTTGGATATTCCTGGCATCAAAGTAGGTCAGGCCTATCCGCCCAAAGACTTCTCCAGAGACAGAAAGAGACCAAAAGGACACTCCAGCCTCAGAAAACGATTGTTTTGTGTGCTTACAGCACTCCACTGCATGTCCCCGTCGGAGTCGAGCCCTCCAGAGCGGAGGGGCGGAGAGAGATGCCGGTGGTGGGTCTGGCAGCTACGAGGAGGATCCGTCTTAACACTGGACAGTGTGGGAATAGCTAAATTTCTCGCGTGGCGCCTACGTTTTATGTGTGTGTACCCGGACTTCCAAGAAAGCAGGGAACCTGGGCCAAACCCTGCAGAAACGAAGTCCTCATATCCCACGGCAGTGCCCCAGCAATGACCACGGACAGCTGCCACCGGCAGCCCTAGTCCTTCGCCCCAAAGCAGAGGCTTTCACCGCACCATGATAACCGGGAGGAGGCTCTTCTCGGACGGGAACGAGCCTCTCACAAGCCACGCCACAGATTCCCCGTCTGCACGGTTCAGCACCAAATTAACGACATGGTGGCAAGAGACCGCTGGCCCAGAGCGCATCCTGCCCGCATGAAATGGCATTAGGTATACAGCGAAACACAACTTTCTAAACCAAAAACCATTTACTGCCAGAACAGTAAGCTGAAACCTGCAGCGAGTGACGGGAATGCCGAGAGCACCACAGAGTCTGTTTGAAACCTGTGACCTTTAACAGAGAACGATCGTATTCCTCTTTTGGTTTGACTCCTTAGTTTGTGGTTTTTACTGTTTTTGTAGGGTCTAATAATGTTGCTACTGATGCATATAACAAAGCCCATAAGAGGGCTCAAACCTATAAAACTTCCCAGAAGGTCGCTACTTTCTGCTGCATCTCTTGCGCCTTTCTGATAAAGGATGAGGTGGCCCAGGGCAGGGAAAAGGGACCGGCGTAGCAATTTAAAACTTTAAAGCTAAAAGAAAATTTAAGAAAGGGGGATCGTTTCCTGGTTAGTCCAACCCCCAGCCCTTGCCCCAGTGCCCACACATTCTGCAAGCAGCTCGTTAGTAAAAGCACCCCTTTTGTTTCGTCTTGGATGGGAACTAATTAAGAGAACATGGTGGAACCACATTTCAGCTTTAGGTCCCTTCTGACCTCATACTACCCAAGCTGAGATACCAAAGGGGATAATCAGCAAAGTCCAAACAGAAAACGATTAATAATATGACAAAGCCATGATTACAGCAGTCTATTAACTGCAAGATAATACTGGTCTAATTACGGCAACATTGACTTTTATTACTCTGAAGTAGCTTGCGCTATCATTAAGGAGATTCATAGATAATTCTGAGTTTAACATAAGGAGTTATATTTAATATCTTAGTAGATGTAATTTAGCTTTTCTTCCACCCACTCCCCACAGAGAAAACAAAATACGTTTGACGGCTCTCTTAGCGCTCCAGCATCTATTAGTCATTCTAACCACAGGCTGGATTTACACAAAGTTAGGATACCATGAGTGGAAATTCAACAGGACTAAAAAAGTGTAAGTGCAATAGGCTGAGGCCTGCAGAGCTGGCTGGAAGCGCGTAGTGGCAGGAACCGCGAACCCGCGGGATCCCAGGTCCACGTTCCCAGGGCGCGCGGGCAACCATGCCCCTTCCTTATGCTTAAGCTTGGCCATAGGGAAGCCTTAACATGAGGGACAGCTCTGGCTGGTTTGCTTTCCCCTAGGTTTCTTTCAGTTAAAAAGCGACACTCAGCTATTCCGATCTGTGACGAGGAGCATGTGGCGGTGGCATGCCTCAACCCTGCTTGTATGGGCTGCGGGACTGGTTTTCCAGGGCGATA